AAAGCACGCTGGTCTTACTGTACTGTACATGTACATGTACACGTATTAACTCCTTACTCTACAGTATTAATAATATCATGGCGTGAATGCACGGAGCGGCTCTGCACTCTCGTGTCAACAAACGGTGGTGTTGGTGCCGAAACGGGCCGCCATGTCGTTGCCGTCGAGAGACTCGGCACGCTCCGCTGACGAGGAGTTGAGCACTGCTCAATGAGCAGTATGTCAGGCGGCGAACAGCTCCTTCCCGACTCGGGATTCCTGAGGAGTCAGTGAGGACACCCCTCTGTGGTCCACAGTGGACCACTGGGGTGAGTGGAGTCTCCACGTCAGTCACGAGGACACGTGCCTCGTCTGCATGCCGATCTCTACGCTCGCGCCGCTTTGATTGCAGAGACGGCGGCGCCGTCTCTGCAAGCCGTCACGGCGGAGGTTCTCGCGAGCTTTGCTGATGCCTTATGAGGCTTACTTCGATGTACATGTGCATTACTTTGAAGTACATGTATTAATATGCCCGCGCTTGCATTGCGAGGCTCAAGCGAGACAACAGCAACACCGTGTTGCCAACACGAACACGGTACAGAGATCCGGAGTTAGGCAACAGCGCACTCATCAGCGCGGGTCGCGTTATCTACAATGGCAGTGCCCTACAGCTCCACCTCACGTAGGGCAGTTAAGCTTTTGCCGAGTAGAGCACAAGTATCGACCCTCGGCTAAGGACCAAGTTAAGCTGGCGTACCGGTACCCGTGGAAAGAAAAACATACTGATGAGCTTCATCGAGATGTTGACTGTCGCGAGCCCCCGTTCTTCTTCCATTTCGCAGTCCCAGACGTCGTCACAATGGATGGCGCCGCCTGCCGCCTCCTGGACGTGTGAAGAGATCAGCATGATCCAGGAGATGTTCCTCACGGACGAGAAGGCCATCCAGATCCGAGATATCTCCATTAGTGGGGGAAGATTGCCCATCACTGAGGACCCACTCGCTGTCTCCGTGGAGCAGGGTGCTGACGCCACCAGTATGCTGCTGTCACCCATTGGCGCCGATGACGCTTTCCTGCAACAATTCATGGTCGACGAGAAGGATGCCATGGCCGCGTTCTTCCTCGAGGCCATTGACCCGTTCAAAAACGTCCCTGTTGGTTCGGATAGCACCATACAGCAACACGTTGTTGTTGCGCCGTCGGCTGTCTCCGGTCCTATCGGTGGACGACCTATTGAGCACGTGCTGGCCAAGCTGCGCGCCAAAGTGGAGGGCTTGAACCGCTTATACTACTCACGCTGTATGAATGTATCCGATGCTACAGAATCTAGCATCAACAAGGTCAAACTCGTACTCGCGATCGAGAGGCTGCAGCGTGTTATCCAGGGCCTCTCCAAGGAGAACGCCCAGCTCAAAGTAGACATGACCAGCTGTGCACAACGGAGCGAGATGCTTCTGCAAAATAGCAACACTCAAGTCAATCTGGAGCAGTTGAGCCAATGTATTGATGAGTCGACATGCGCGACGGCTGAAGGGGAAGGTGTGAACGTAGCGCTCAACTACTCCGTGGACGGAGAGGTACTGAAGGAACACCAGGATGAACCCGGCTGGGGCTACAAGAGCGTGATGACCCAGAACGGCGTGTTCTCGTACAGGCTTAAGAAGGAGTATCCGAAGGAGGTGAATATGGATGAGGTGATGCAGAAGACGTCGTTTCATGTGAGTACCTCGGAGAACATATCGCGCATCTATTACGGCTCCATCAAGGCGCAACTAGTGAAGAAGGTGGGCAAAAAGGCTGTTATTATGTATGATATTACCAAACCACGACGCGACGCGTGTGGCCCGCCGTCGTTGCTGTGCTCTTTCCGAGTGGAGATGCCGAACGGATTTTTACTGGGCGCGCGCTCGATTAATGTGGCTTTCTGTGGCGGCCTCTGACAGAGTGCACCGCATAGAATGCACAGTTTGGCAGCTATACGAGCGTAAAGAGGACGGCGGGTTCTCAGTCACTTCGTGCGGCCTGTTATCATACCCTTCGCGCGCGGATATAGATTTTATGGCGGTGGAGATTTTGTGTCTCCACTGTCGATGGGAGAACCGGGTCGTTGGCACTCACTTGACAGTGTGAAGACGCTGGCGGTGAAGATGGTAATATACATATTGTGTGTGCAATGAACGTGCCAACGGCCCCTCCATTACATAAGTAGGTAGATTTCCTTACATAAGTAGATGCATCAGCACACGCTAGTCGTGTGCTGAGAGAACGGAGACGCTCGACGTGCAAGAAGTTACAGTAGCAACAACACCCACAACTGGGTACTTCGGTAATTTATTGCTTGTGTGGTAAGCTACTACATGTATAAACACAAGCACTGTTAAATTCAACAAGCCCATACTTACAGTAAGTGCAGAGCTTAATAGCACGTACTGTAGTACATGTACTACTATGTACGTAGTAATACATGTTCACGTACTGTACCAAGTTCATTTTTTACCTACAGTATTAGCGATTACTAGTAGGCATACTTCTAGTAGTATTATCCATGTATTACGTAATTCGATACGAAAATGGACCCATGTTTGTAAGGCAAGCGAGCTCGCACAAATTTGCAGCTCATGTCTTCCCTGCATGACGTTTCTTTTTATTTTCTGCGGTGAGACTTTTTTTAACTCACCCATGACCAACCGTCACAAAATAAACTAGAATAATGATCAAACTAGCCAAGCGCCGCCGCTACGCGGCGGTAGTTAAGGTTTTAATCAAATTATTTGCCTTCCCGCCTCCACTTCGCTTCGCGTGGATAATTATTCCAAAACTATGAACCCCTATGTAACGGGGTACGTAGCCCTAAGTGTACCCCTAGTTACCTGGAGTGTGACACGTCATACTTCGGAATATTTGGTACACGGTTACCCGTTACATTGGGGTTCGTAGTTTTGTTAAGCCGTATGAAGGGAAGCAAGGTGAGAGCCTTCAGTTCTGGGTCCGAGAGGTAGAGCTCGCGATGGACGCGGCTCCGATCTCGACAGAGCAACTTCGTAACGGGCCAGGTATTTACTCCGTTACTTGCTTACACTATAGTGTTGAGGAAGCTCGCAATAGGACGACTGAGTCTTAGGTTTAAGGAAAAATCAACTCTGACTTTATTTTAGGACCAAGGCCACAGCCCTGGCCACTCAAATACACGTCATAGTCCAATTGGCTAATAATGGGTCTGGCTCCCCATATATCAGCCAATGGCATGACAGCATTTCAGCACACGCTAGTCGTGTGCTGATGCACCTACTTTTGTAAAGAAATCTACCTACTTATGTAATGGAGAGGCCCATTACAAACTTCGTGTTGCTTTTGCACTCTCCAACCTTAGCGATCATGCTAAGAGTTGGGTGTACACGCGGGAGGCAACATCCCCTGGATGTTTCGCATCCTGGGCTCAGCTGTGCGAGCAGCTCCGAGCCGCGTTCCTCCCGGCGAACAACAAGTACCGCCAGCGCTCGCGCTTTCTCTCATGCAAGCAAGGGAGGCGTGAGCTGCACGAGTACGTCCAAGAGATACGGTGTGACGGGGTCACACAGCACCTTGCGCTAGAGGAAGTTATCTTCCGAGAGTATACAAACTCTCAGTGAACGGCAGTTCACAGGTCCCCTCTTTAATTAAAGAGAGCGAAGTGACCTAAATAAGGTAGATTGTAAACTGAGTATATTTATAGGTAGGTTAAGTTTGGGTTTAATACAAACTATAAGTTACCTATAGAAATGCAATGTCATTTAACCAATGGTTGACTTTGAACGACTTTGGTACCTTGTACCAAATATCCCGGAGTATGACGTGTCATACTCCTGAAGTGTGAAGTGTCACACTTCATGTAACCAGGGTACACTTAGGGCTACGTACCTCGTTACATCCTCCCCCACTTAGGTTCGGTTTACCGACCAATCAGAATGAAGAGGTGTTCGTCACAAACTCTCATTCTCAAAGTCGAAAACCATCGACGA